AGAAATGTGGGACAAGCTGGAGGTCACATATGAAGGTACGGACCAAGTTCGGGAAGCCAAAATTGACTTCCTCACGCAGGAGTACGAGATGCATGTTCAGGATGAAGGAAGGCGAAAAGATCGATGACATGTTCGATCGGTTCTCAAAGATCATCAATGACCTTCATGCCCTCAAGAAGACGTACGCCAACAAGGACCTTGTGAGGAAAATCCTGCGGAGTCTCACTCCCGAATGGAGATCAAAGGCTGACGCAATCTACGAATCCATATATCGGAGTCTCCAACGTCACCATCGACGGGTTAAGAGGTAACCTCAAAACTTATGAATCTACTATTCTAACCCCGTCTTTGGATGAACAAAAGAAGAAGGGAATAGCACTGAAAGCAACCAAGGAGACCGTGGAAGAAGACTCAAGCAATGATGACAACGAGTTCGGACTCGTCATCAAGAAATTCCACAAATTTATCAAGAAGGAATTTGAGCGCAAAGGAAGAAAGCACGACGGTCCCCCCAAGTGCTATGGCTGTGGCGAGATAGGCCACATCAAGCCGAGGTGTCCAAAAGGCAAAAGCACCAAGGACAAACCTGGCTTCACAAAACAACGTGCCTACATCTCATGGGGTGGTGACTCCGGCGACGAGTCAACTGACCAAGAAGAGGAGGAAGCCGCCAACCTCTGTCTCATGGCACACGAAGTCCACGCTGACGAAATACAAGAGGTATGTACCCCTTCTTTCGACTCTTACACTTTTGAAGAGATGCAAGAAGCTCTTCAAGATCTTTATGATGAATTTGTTAGCGCTTCTAAAACCAACAAATCTTTAAAGAAACGTCTTTCAACTCTTGAAAATGATTTTGAAAAACTGGAAAAAGATAATGAAAAGTTGAAACAAGAAAATAAATTTTATGGTAAAAGAAGCGCTGACAAACCGGAAAGCTCTTCAAGTGAATGTGAATCTTGCAAAACTTTAAAAGAAAAGGTTGCAAAACTTGAGAGTACGGTTAAGAAGTTTAGTACACCACACAAAGATCTTAATTTACTCCTAGATACTATACATTTTTTCTAAGGAAGGATTAGGTTTTGATAAAAATGAATCTAAGGATAAAAATGTTGAGAAAACACCTAGACAACCTCCTAAGGCTCAACATAAGAAAGTTAAAAATCAGGATAATAGAAAATCTAGTCAACCTAAGGACACTAGACAACCTAGACAAAAACCTAGGAATGAAAATGTGCATGCTAGACAACCTAGGAAAAATTATCAAAATGAATTTGTGCATAAAAATAATTTTTCAAATAGACAAAATAATGCTAGGACACCTAGAAGAGAGAACTTTCAAAAACAAATATTTTCTCAAAATAGGATGAATATGGTTAGGCCCCCTAGCAACTATTATCAACCTAGGAGGATGCACAACCCAAACGTAGGTTGTCACTATTGCAATAGGGTAGGACATATAGCTCCTGTTTGCTTCACTAGGCATAGGCATTGGGCACAAAATGAATCACACTACCACTTTGCACCTAACACTCAATGACCCAAAAAGACTTGGGTACCTAAATCCTATTAAATCATTCTTGTAGGTGTGCTTGAAGGCGTCAAGTGTACTTTGGTACCTTGATAGCGGATGTTCCAAGCACATGACCGGAGATGCATCCAAGTTCCTACAAATCAAACCCGCTAAAGGAGGAAACATAGTCTTTGGAGATAATAGCAAAGGAAAAATTATCGGCATTGGTTCGGTAGGTAAGTCTGAAGACTCTTCTATAGATAATGTCTTGCTAGTCAAAGGTCTTAAACACAATCTCTTGAGCATAAGTCAATTATGTGACAAGGGAAACCGTGTGACCTTCGATTCAAAATCATGCACAGTAGAACGCCTTAGTGACAATAAAGTCATTCTACGTGGTGATAGAATCGATAACATATATATGGTTAACTTAGACAAATCTCCTTCCGACTTTGCTAAGTGCCTCATGAGTAAAGAGGAAGACACTTGGTTATGGCACCGAAGGGTAGCTCATATGAACATAAACCTTTTGAACAAATTAGTTTCACAAGACTTAGTGATTGGCATTCCAAAACTTAAGTTTGAAAAAGACACCATATGTGACGCATGTCAAAAGGGGAAGCAAGTTCGGGCTTCGTTTAAGTCTAAGAACGTTGTTCCAACGTCTAGACCGCTTCAACTTTTGCACATGGATCTCTTTGGTCCTTCAAGAACAAAAAGTTTTGGTGGCAATTACTTTGCGTTTGTGATTGTTGATGACTACTCTAGGTTTACATGGACCTTGTTTCTAACTCACAAAAGTGAGGCATTTCACGTTTTCAAAATTTTTTTAAAGAAAGTTCAAAATGAAAACGAAACAACCATAGTAGCCATAAGAAGCGACCATGGGGGAGAGTTCGAATGAAATCTATTCTCAGATTTGTGTGACGAACTTGGCATTGATCATAACTTCTCAGCCCCACGTACACCACAACAAAATGGAGTGGTGGAACGTAAAAATAGATGTCTCGAAGAGATGGCTAGAACTATGATCAATGAGGCAAAAATCCCTAAGTATTTTTGGACGGATGCCGTGAGTACCGCGAGCTACGTGTTAAACCGAACCGTCATTCGACCGATACTCATGAAAACGCCTTATGAACTATACAAAGGGAGAAAGCCAAACCTTTCCCATCTTCGAGTCTTTGGCTGCAAATGTTTTATTCATAACAATGGCAAAGACAATTTAGGCAAATTTGATGCCAAGTCGGATGAAGGAATTTTTCTGGGTTATTCACTTCGTAGCAAGGCCTATAGAGTCTTTAATAAACAAACTTTGACTATTGAGGAATCCCCTCACGTTGTATTTTCCGAAGATAATCCTCGCTTGGCAAGAAAGGATATTTGTGATGATCTTGCAGATTCATTAGAGAGAATACACGTTGATGACGATGAAGAGAACACAGGAATATACACCAACACGCAGCCTCAAACTGAGGAGATACCTCAAGTGGCTAACCAAGGTGGAGAAGAAAATCAAGAAGAAGAAGAAGAAGAACAAGAGGAACACGAAGAAGAAGCAACCGAGCTTCCCATTGCATGGAGAACAAACAAGAACCATCCGCTTGACTAGGTAATCGGTAGCATCAACCGCGGGGTAAGTACTGGTAACTCACTTAGGGACACCGTAGGACACATGGCTTTTATTTCTCAAATTGAACCTACAACCATTTCCGAAGCAATAAATGATGAAAATTGGACTTTGGCTATGCAAGAGGAGCTAAACCAATTCAAACGGAATGACGTTTGAGAATTGGTGCCAAGACCCAATGATCGTACGGTTATTGGTACAAAATGGGTGTTCCGTAACAAACTTGATGAAAATGGAATAATCACTAAAAACAAAGCTAGGCTCGTAGCTAAAGGCTACAATCAAGAAGAAGGCATTGATTTTGAAGAAACATATGCACCCGTAGCACGTTTAGAAGCTATTCGTTTACTTCTTGCTTTTGCTTCGTCTATGGACTTTAAACTTTATCAAATGGATGTTAAGAGTGCCTTCCTCAATGGTTTTATTCAAGAGGAAGTGTATGTTGACCAGCCCCCGGGGTTTGAAGACTTTGAGTTTCCCGACCATGTCTTCAAAATAAACTCAAGAAAGCGCTCTACGGTCTTAAACAAGCACCCCGTGCTTGGTACGAATGTTTGAGTAAATTTCTTTTGGACAGCGGTTTCCAAAGGGGAAAGGTTGACACTACACTTTTTATCAAGAGTAAAAACAATAACATCCTTTTGGTTTAAGTTTATGTAGACGATATTATATTCGGTGCTACTAACGAGTCTTTGTGCAAGGAATTCTCAACGCTAATGACAAGCGAATTTGAAATGTCCATGATGGGAGAGCTTACATTCTTTTTGGGACTCCAAGTCAAGCAAATGAAAGATGGCACATTCATTTGCTAAACCAAATATTGCAAGGAGCTCCTAAAACGATTCAAAATGGACAACGCCAAAGCCATGGCGACCCCGATGAGCACGTCCGACCACCTAGACAAAGACGAAAAAGGTAAGGAAGTTGAAGTCAAAAAGTATCGAGGTATGATCGGATCCCTTCTCTACCTTACCTCTAGTAGGCCGGATATCATGTTTAGCGTATGCCTTTGCGTAAGGTATCAATCATTTCCGAAGGAATCGCACTCAATGGCGGTGAAACGGATCATGAAATACCTTGTAGGCACGGTTAACGTTGGACTGTGGTATCCAAAAGGCTCTTCGTGTCATCTGGTTGGTTACTCCGACTCGGACTTTGCCGGTTGCAAATTGGACCGTAAAAGTACGAGTGGGACTTGCCACTTACTTGGTAGCTCTTTACTTTCATGGTTTAGCAAGAAAGAGGTCAGTGTTGTGTTATCCACAACCGAAGCGGAATACGTTGCCGCCGGTAGTTGTTGTGCTCAAACTCTTTGGATGAAGCAACAACTTGTGGACTATGGCCTTAGTATTAGTCACGTTCCACTTCGGTGTGACAATACTAGCGCCATAAGCTTGACCAAGAATCCTGTTCTTCATTCAAGGACGAAACACATTGACATTAGGCACCATTTCATTAGAGATCATGTTCTCAAAGGTGATGTCGAAATTGAGTTTGTTGAAACACACAACCAATTAGCCGACATTTTCACAAAACCTTTAGAGAAAGAGTCATTCTTCCGCATTCGTAGTGAACTCGGAATCCTTGACTCCACGATGATCTAATTTGTGCATTTTATCACCCTTTTATCTTTGATTAAACGTTTACTAACTTGAGCGTCGAAGGGTTTTTCTAACTCTTTTTTGCAGGGACGGTTCAAGGTGAAGGAATCCAGAAATCAGGGGGAACCAGCGATGGGTGGGTTATACCATCGCTGGGAGGGAAGTCTTCATTTTTCCAGAACCCCTCTTCCCATCGATGGGTACTTTCTCCCATCGATGGGTAATTGACTCTTTTTTTTATTTTTTTAAACGAATTTCCAGAAACTCCTTACCCATCGATGGGTATTTTATCCCATCGCTGGGTGAAGGATCCTTTTTCAAAAAAAGTTTCCAGAACCTCCCTACCCATCGATGGGCAAATCCTCCCATCGCTGAGTGTTTGACTCTATTTTTTTAAAAAATTTTTTTACGGATTTCTCAAAACCACCAACCCAGCGATGGGATGGTAATAACATCGCTGGGAAGGCCTTTGTCATTTAATCTTCACTTTCCAGAATCCACCTTCCCATCGATGGGAGAATCCACACATCGCTGGGAAGGCAGTTCAGTTTTCTCCTTCGCTTTCTAGTGGCAACCTTCCCATCGATGGGAAGCATTACCCATCGCTGGGATGACTGGTGAGATTCAAATTTTCAGAGCCGTTGGGCACCCCATTTATTGCCCAACAGCTATATTTTTTGAATCCAAACGGCCAAATCCTCTTGTTCCTATATATATCCACCATATTTGCTCATACTAATACACCATTAACACTATAATTTCATTCCTTGATCCTAATCTCAATTTTTCATCCTCTTTTATTCAAAAACATCACATTTATGGCCGGAGGAAAGAAGACAAAAGCTTCGAAGAAGAAGGTCACCACCGAGCCTACGAGCTCTGCACCTCAACCCTTCCCGTACCTGGACGGATCCTTCCTCGAATTTGGCTCGGAGGAGGAACTTACTCGCTTCTCACCGCCAATGGTGCTGCCCGAGTTGTTCCCTCAACAAAAGGGATACTACGACCTTGACAACCAACTCAAGGAGTCGGGTTTGTAGCCCTTTGTCTCCAAGAGTCGCACCGCCTTCAATCCCGCCTATGTCCGAACCTTCTACTCCAATCTCCGCCGGGACGGGGACACCATCCGCAGTAGCATCAATCTTTATGACATAGAGTTTGACTTGGCTACTTTTGCTCGGGTTGCAGGCTGCCCACCCGCGGTGACGACATCGCGACATATGGTGGCGATGATTGGATTCTCAACAACGAGGCGGTGGTCATCCGAGAGCTTGGAATCACCAACCTCATCCGTCACAGCGGCGCACCAGCCATCCACTCAGCCCCGCCGGAAAAGCGTCTTCTACTCTACATCCTCACCCGGATTCTTCGCCCCTAGGACAGTAGCCACACCTGTCTCTTCAACGAGGATCTCAAGGGGGTTCATGCTATCACCCATGGCGCCTCGATCAATTGGGCAAAATACGTCATGATTCACATGGCGGATTGCGCCTCCATCACCACCGAGCGGAGCTTGCCATACACCTTCCTTGTCATGGATCTCATTGTTGCCTCCGACATCCACATCGCCGGCCCGGACACGAAGATGACGAAGATTTGGATCATCCAAGACAGCACCTTTCGGAAGAAGTCCGGTGACAGAACCGGCGCAGGACCCAGTCTGGCTCAGCCCCCGCTCCCGCCAAGGCCTCCTTACAGTCCATAGCCGATACCCTGAATCGGCTAACCATCACCGTGGATGGCATGAGCCAGTACCTGGAGAGGATGGACTGGACGCTGCAACGCCAACACCACGACATGAGGGCGTTCTTCCGAGGCATCAACTACGTCCCGCTACCCTTTTACACCACCTTCCTCGGCCAAAACACGGACTTGTCACATTTTCGTACTAAAGCCGTGTTTGTTTTTATGACAGGTTTTGATAATGCCAAACCGCCGTGATCAAGTCAAAACATTGAATATACAAGGCGAAAAATGAAGACAAGAACAAGAGCTAAACAAAGACCAAGAACGAAGACCTTAATCTTAGCATCGTTGAGTCGGTCTTTATTGTGATCAAGACCGACCCAATCTTTACACCTTGGCTCTTTAGGCTAAAATCTTTCAAACGTAAAGAATGTAGTATTTTTACAAAAAGTTTGAACAAATTCAGTAATTTTTGTGAACCACAAGCAGGTTTGGTTTTTGGTTCGGTAGGTCGCAAGCCCAAAGTCTTTGGCCGCAAACCGAAAGCCAATAGCCGTAACCTAAAACCGCAGGCTTGGTTGGCTCACCAAAAGTTGCAAAATACTAACTAAAAGTGAGAATGGCATGTTTAAACGGTTCTCCAACAAAAACACTTTGAAAACCATCTTTTGCTTTTGGTCGTTTGACAAAAACCACGCAAAATGGCGTAAACTTGGCTAGCCGTGGTTTTTACTCAAATGACGTGGTTTTCAAAGTAACTCACTTGATTTCTTAGCCAAATACATCAAATAAGTGTTTTAAACACTTGGTTTTTATTTTGGAGAACTTTGGATTTTTCGGTCGGTTTTTTCTGCATCGGTTGGCTAGGCCGTGGTTAAGGCAAAAACCATGGGTTTTTGACTAACCACCCACCCAGCAATGGGAAGATCTTCCCATCGATGGGCAAGCAGTCCCTCAGCCAAACCAACTTCCAGAACCATGCCAAACAGCGATGGGAAGTTCTACCCATCGCTGTTAAAGCCTTGGTGCAACATTACCACAAGGCAGAACAACCTTGCCCAGCGATGGTGAGGCTAAACCATCGATGGGAAGGGATGACCATTGTAGGTCATTTAAGGTTGATTCTTTCTTTGTTTGGAAGTCAACCTCCCACCCAGCAATGGGAAGCTTGTACCCATCGATGGGTAGGTAAGCGTTGGCTTCAAAACTGAAGGAAAATTGGCTTACCAGCGATGGGTAAGTGCCAAACATCGATGGGAAGCCAATATTCTGCAGATCGCAAATCTTTTCAATCCCATTAATCAAGCTAATCACCCCTTTAATGCATTGGTCCGTTGGAGCCTATTTTTGCACTATAAAAAGGGGTTTTGGGTCTGCTTTTCTGATCAATTCACTTCACAATTCTCCTACTTTCATTGCATTCAAACAACATCATTTTCCATAGCTTTTTAGAGCCATTTTGTGTGAAGGTTGAGTTGTTCTTGAGCGTACTTAGTTTACTCATAATCTACTCTATAAGAGAGTCTCGTTCTTGAGTGTACTTGCGTTCTTAGACACGTTGAGAGAAAGTATTTCTCTCGGTTGATTCAAAGGAAGGGCTGTTTCCTTTGAAGGATTCGTTGAGGTTCGTGTGACTCGAATTCTCAAGTTGTAAGGGTTTGTTAAGCACCGTTAAGCTTAACGAGATAGTAGTGTAGCTCGAGAGAGTCTCTCGGGAGGCTGGATTAGCCACAAGTTGTGGTGAACCAGGGTAAAATTCGGTGTGCCTCTTACTCTTCTTTTTACTTGTCTTTTAATTTTTTAATTCCTGCGATTTCTACGATCAAACGCTATTCACCCCCCTCTAGTGTTGGTTTATTATTATAACAATTGGTATCAGAGCCTAACTCGCGTCCAAACTTAACCGTTTGAGAGTAAAGCGATCATGGGTTCTTCGTCTAGAAATCTTTATGCAGGAATCGGAGAAGGCCAATCCACTTCCAGGCCACCGCTTTTTGATGGCACCAACTACACATATTGGAAAGAGCGGATGAGAATTTATATCCGCTCAACCAACTTTCAGTTGTGGTTGGTCGTCAAAAATGGCGAAGAAATTCCAATGAAGAAGGTCGGTGAAAAACTCGTCCCAAAGACCGAGGACAAATTTGATGCCGAGGACATCAAAAAGGTGGAGAACTACGCCAAGGCGATCAACATGCTGTACTGCGCGGTCAACCCAGATGATTATTGCAAGATCTCTTGCTGCACCACTGCCAAAGAAATGTGGGACAAGCTGGAGGTCACATATGAAGGTACGGACCAAGTTCGGGAAGCCAAAATTGACTTCCTCACGCAGGAGTACGAGATGCATGTTCAGGATGAAGGAAGGCGAAAAGATCGATGACATGTTCGATCGGTTCTCAAAGATCATCAATGACCTTCATGCCCTCAAGAAGACGTACGCCAACAAGGACCTTGTGAGGAAAATCCTGCGGAGTCTCACTCCCGAATGGAGATCAAAGGCTGACGCAATCTACGAATCCATATATCGGAGTCTCCAACGTCACCATCGACGGGTTAAGAGGTAACCTCAAAACTTATGAATCTACTATTCTAACCCCGTCTTTGGATGAACAAAAGAAGAAGGGAATAGCACTGAAAGCAACCAAGGAGACCGTGGAAGAAGACTCAAGCAATGATGACNCTCAAGAAGACGTACGCCAACAAGGACCTTGTGAGGAAAATCCTGCGGAGTCTCACTCCCGAATGGAGATCAAAGGCTGACGCAATCTACGAATCCATATATCGGAGTCTCCAACGTCACCATCGACGGGTTAAGAGGTAACCTCAAAACTTATGAATCTACTATTCTAACCCCGTCTTTGGATGAACAAAAGAAGAAGGGAATAGCACTGAAAGCAACCAAGGAGACCGTGGAAGAAGACTCAAGCAATGATGACTACGAGTTCGGACTCGTCATCAAGAAATTCCACAAATTTATCAAGAAGGAATTTGAGCGCAAAGGAAGAAAGCACGACGGTCCCCCCAAGTGCTATGGCTGTGGCGAGATAGGCCACATCAAGCCGAGGTGTCCAAAAGGCAAAAGCACCAAGGACAAACCTGGCTTCAAAAAACAACGTGCCTACATCTCATGGGGTGGTGACTCCGGCGACGAGTCAACTGACCAAGAAGAGGATGAAGCCGCGATGGGTAAGTGCCAAACATCGATGGGAAGCCAATATTCTGCAGATCGCAAATCTTTTCAATCCCATTAATCAAGCTAATCACCCCTTTAATGCATTGGTCCGTTGGAGCCTATTTTCGCACTATAAAAAGGTGTTTTGGGTCTGCTTTTCTGATCAATTCACTTCACAATTCTCCTACTTTCATTTCATTCAAACAACATCATTTTCCATAGCTTTTTAGAGCCATTTTGTGTGAAGGTTGAGTTGTTCTTGAGCGTACTTAGTTTACTCATAATCTACTCTATAAGAGAGTCTCGTTCTTGAGTGTACTTGCGTTCTTAGACACGTTGAGAGAAAGTATTTCTCTCGGTTGATTCAAAGGAAGGGCTGCTTCCTTTGAAGGATTCGTTGAGGTTCGTGTGACTCGAATTCTCAAGTTGTAAGGGTTTGTTAAGCACCGTTAAGCTTAACGAGATAGTAGTGTAGCTCGAGAGAGTCTCTCGGGAGGCTGGATTAGCCACAAGTTGTGGTGAACTAGGGTAAAATTCGGTGTGCCTCTTACTCTTCTTTTTACTTGTCTTTTAATTTTTTAATTCCTGCGATTTCTACGATCAAACGCTATTCACCCCCCTCTAGCATTGGTCTATTATTCTAACAGATGGCGGCTGGACATCCACTTGCTCGCTACTGTAGTTGGCCGACCAGCCAGGTCGCGCCACATGGCAGTGCCTGGTTGGCCAGATTTTGTTCTGGTCCGAATTTTTTTTCTAAAAATACAGTCTTGCTCAAAATTGTATTCTAAACAACTTTTCCTTCTGTGCCGAATTCAAATTCCGAACAAATCTGGGTCAAACGAACTAGTTTTGAACTAAATCACTTTTTTTTTCTTCACTTCAACAACTTCTTTTTGGTACATTTTCAATCCCTTTGACCTCAAATTTTTTAACGGGGTGTATCTCCACAAGTGAATATATACTTTTCACTTCATCGATTTTCACCATCTTTTGTCTTCTTTGTTCCGCTACATTCCATTTGCACAATCTTTTACACATTTTGCACCACTTTTGACTCAAATTTTTTTTAAATAAGACATAACATTGTATACTTTTTCAATTATGAATAATAACTTATAAAAATCATTGAGAAATTGATTTGTTTGATCCAAAATTGGACAACAACTACACGTTAAATAAAGAGAAAATAAGTGCGTACAAAACGGACTTATCACCCATGCAGAGATTGGCAAATTTGTGTGCATAAGAAAAGCCTGAGTTACCATTTGTAATCTTTCAATGGTAGCTTCTCCGAGACCATTTTGTGTATGTACATGGGGAACAAGATGATTTACATCGATCTCAATAGCCATGCAATAGTCATCAAAGTTCTTTGGCGTAAACTCTACGACATTATCAAGTCTTATACACTTGATTGGGTGGTCAAAGTTGTGAGCCCTCAAATGAATAATTTGTGCCAAGAGTTTTGCAAATACAACATTTCTTGTTGATAATAATGTGACGTGTGACCAACATGTCGAAGCATCAACGAGAACTATAAAGCACCTAAATGCACCACTTTTTAGTTGGATAGGGCTACATATATCTCCTTTTATTCATTGTAGGAATGATATATTTTCTTTTGGATCTCTATCATAGGAAGGTCTCGACCATGTTTTTGCTAAGGAGCAAGCTTTGCAATAAATATTTCTGAGCCTTTGACAGGGTTAATGGGAATGATGAGATGTGAATGATTCTTCTGTTATGTTAGAAGACATTTTTCTACTTTGGGCAAGATTAGATCGAACATTATACATTGTGTTGGGAATTGGGATTTTTTGTAATTTTGTCCTTGTTATGAAAGAATGGATGACCGTGAGAATTTTTAAGATACGAATCATCATGTCACGGCCAGGATGACCAAGTCGATCATGCTAAAGCCTGTATCGGTCAATATCCCATATTTCATCATGGCTTATAGAATAAGATTAAATTACTTGAATTGTAGTGATGTGCAATTCACTATTTTTACTTTTAATTTTCTCTAAAATGTGTTTTCTTCCACATTCATTAGAGGTAATATAAAGGTATCTAATGCCATCCTCATAATGGGATTCAATATGAAACCATTATCACGAATGTCTTTGAAACTTAATAAGGTGCGAGAAGCTCTAGGTGCATATAGAGCATTTATAGCTTTAATCAAGGTACCATTTGGTAGTAAGAAAATTATCGTACCTCGTCATTGAATAGCTTGTGATGATCCAATCATTGATGTCACAGATTAATTATGCACTATAAAGTTATCAAATAATTGCCTATTTCACAATATGGTGTGGATAGTAACATTGTCCATGGCAAAAAATTGATAAAGTATATCAATCAAAGTCTGGTGCATCCATCGACTATGCATAATCTCCCTTGTTCGTAAAGTGTGCAAGGGTAAGATTGACATCAACATCATTGTCTTCTGTATCTAAATATTGAGATTCTTACTCTCTAGATTCTTGATATTTTTTTAGCAAGCTACAACTTTATCATTAGCACGATAGTGTTTGTTCTAGTGCCTACTTACTCCACATCGGTGACATGGCTCACTTTCAACTTGTTCCTTTTTTTAGGGGGAACCTTTGGGGGCATTGGAACTTTTGTTTGTTTGACCACTCGGTCGATCTATCATTGGATTCTTTCCGCCATACATTGGAAGATTCTCTACGACCTCTACCACGACCCTTCCCACGATTAGAGTTTTTTCCATGTGGGTAAGGATCAACACGTCCACGTCCCCATTCATTATAGTTCTTTTCATGTTTTGTTTTACCAAAATTTGTTTCAGGAATTTTCTTTATCCCAACAGGTCGAGCATTATGGTTCAGAAGGAAATCATTATTTTTTTTGCAATTTGCATCATATTCATCAACTTGCTGAAGGTTGTGATTCTTTTATTTTCATACTCAATCCTATACTAGCTCGCTAGTATCATGGAGGAAGTATGGAATGTAGAAAGAGCTTTTTGAATCATGTCATCTGTTGTGAACGGCTTACCATAAAAAATGAGATGTGCTTTTCAACACGTCTTTTTTGAATTCATTTATCTGTTTATAATCTTGCAAACGGGTTTCATCCCATTGCGTAGTTAGCTCTAGGAGCAAAGTGTCATGAATGTTCTTAAAGTGGTCCTTAAGGGCATCGTACAATTCTTTAGGGCTTTTCAATTAAAGATATTCCCAACATAAACTTAGGTCAATGTGGTGCCTAAGGAACTTGAGAGCACCATCTTTCACTCTCTCAAATGCGATGCCATCGTTCAATTTTGATGAATCTTTAAGCGTGGTAAAGTAGTCTTTAACTACGAAAGTAGTTTTCACATCAGAAACCCAGTGATGGTACTCAAGTCCATCTAAGTCCAAGATGTCAAATTTAGTTCGAGTTGGACTTTGAGGTTGATGATGAGTGACAAGGTTGATTTCTCCTCTATTTTCCAGCAGGTGGCGCCAGAGACTATTGTGCGACGAGAGCATAGTTGAGGATGGTCAATGATGAATGTTTGTGGATTTCTCCTCTACTCCCGATGAGTGGTGGCAGAGTCGATAAAGAAAAAATTGAAAAAATGATTAGGGTTTTTCTAGAGCAGTGCTGATAACGTGTCAAAGAGAGAGGTGTGAATCTTCATTAGTAATAGCCTCCTTAGGGAGAGCTACTTTAGGGTTTAAAAGAGACGACTCATTAGACCGGTACAAATGTATTACACAATACAATATAAATTCTATGGATTAAGCTATTTGTACACCAAAACTTGTACCTCATTTTGTACTCCAAAGACATACACCGACATTTTGTGCTAGTATGATACTAGTGTGGTGATTTACATTGATAAAAAAAATATTAGTGCAATTTTTTTAATTGAACTAAATTTTGTACCAGTGTGAATCATTAAAATGTCAGTGCATTTCTTTGAAGTACAAATTGAGGTACATTTTTTGGTATACTCCTAACATGGTTGAAATTCTATCTACCTAATAACACACTACTCTACTTTATACTCCCTCTGTCCACCATAGATTTTCCCCAGATACTATTCACAGAGTCAAACTTAATTCACTTTATTTGTTTATTTTTACTATTCATTTCATAAAATAATATGGTGTTGTCACCTCTAGTTTTGTAGAACTTTTCATGTAGTTTATTACAACATATATTTTATATTAAAATTTTACCCCTATATTTAAATAAATTGAATTGAAAATAAAGTCAGTCAAGTCTCGTAACGCGCAATTGGAAGATCTTATGTGGACGGATGGAGTAAATTCCTTCCTCAGAAAGAATGAAGAAAAAAAGGAAAAAGAGAGAATTTAAATGGGGGCAAAATTGAAGGCATAAGAGCATCTCCAATGGAGAGGGTAAAAAGTGTATATTGTTAAATATACACTTTATACACTACAATATATACATTTTAACCCCTCCAATGGATAGTGTAAATAATACACTATAGTCTAAAATACAATTCTCAACTTCTATATATACACTCTCCCATTCACATCTTGTAAAAAATTTAATACTAAAATAATGCATGATTAATTTTTGTTAATTCTTCTTATCCAATATAATATATTTAAAATATCTAACTATTAGTAAATTATTATTACTCTTTCAATTACTTTTATTAATAATTTTTTTACTAAATTGTTGTAGTACGTCTTTTTTACTTTTTTTTTACTAATTTTTTTATTTCTTGTTTCTTAATACTCTATAACCATAGTTTAAAATATATGTGTCATCAGAATTTTTAAAAATATATATATTATCACAATTAAATATTTTAAAATATTAAAATAAAATAAAAGTGTATTATATACTTCGTAGAAAATATGGATGGAGTGGATATAAATGGATGTGTAAAACACTATTGATAGTATAAAACTAAATATAGCCTATCTATTTTTACACTTTCCATAGTAGATGCTCTAAGTGGGTTTATAGCATAGTTTTGAGAACCGGACAGGTGACCGAACCGGTCAAGGTACTGGTTCACTGGTTCACTGGTCGAACCAGTGGTTCAACTGGTCGAACTGGTGGTTTAAACATATTTAAAAATTATATAAATATAAATATATATATATATATATATATATATATATATATATATATATAACACACACATTCTCATATATAAATACATAAAGAAAATAATTTATAATATTTGACTAAAATTATACTCGTATTAATATACTTGAGTTATTTTACTAAATTAAAAGAAAAAATTTACATATTAAAAAATATTATTAAAATTTTATTTAAAAAAAATATCAATGATTTTGTGTTTAACTCATAGCTATATAACTACTACGCATTATATTTTTAAAATTGAAAAGGGATTTTCATGCAATCTTTTTATTAATTATGAAATATTATAAAAAATTATACAAATCTAAAACAACAAGCACTGTTAGTTGGGTGGTTAGGAACTCAACCAAATAGCAAAGGGGTCTTGGGTTCGAACCCCTATGGATTGAAATTTTGGAAAAATTGCAAAAAATGAAAAACTAGTCTGACCGGTCCGACCAGTACAATTGGGTCGGACAACCAGTTCACCCTTCGCGGTCCGAATTACCCCTGTATTTGGCATTGACGGCCGCACACGTTTCTTAAGCACGTCCCTACGCGGACAGACTACTTTGGAAGTTTGAGACCTTAAAACCCTAGTCTCGGGCTCTGGCATTTTCTGCTTCTCTGCTGCTCTACATCGCTCTCTCAGGTTTGCTATCCATTTTTTCCTTCTGAATATGCTATCGCGCCACGCACACATGTATGTGTTTCCGAAATGTTTGAAAATAATCATATATAATTAGTGATATTGTATCTAAATTATCACATCTGTTTTTTTGCCGATTTATTTCTAAAAGACATACTCCGTATGTGCTACGTATGCTGCGGATTGAAAGACATATGCTGTGTTCATGTAGAAAATTTGGTTGAATAATCGGATGGAATTGGCAGGGGAGTGAAAAATGCAGAAGAAATTTTATTTGGATGTGAGGGAAGAAAAAGAGACGAGTTTAAGACAGTGAGTGTACTGAGAAGGGAGGTGGAAACATTATCTGTACAGTGTGTAGTTATTCCAGTCACCCATTTGCTCCTTTCCCCCCCCTTAATTTGCCTATTTGTCTAACATGAAAAATGAAAGATTGCACTCTATTTTCTTTAGTACTCCACCCCGAATTAAATTTTTGGCCGCTGTTTCTGTTGAAACACAATTAAGAAAATAACATTGTGGTTTAGCAGAAATTCCAAACTACAATCATAATTACATGAATACTATACAATTATTTATCAATAGAGAGCTAGAAACTTATATGCTCACAAACCAAAAATGAGTTGTGCATTCATAAAATTACTACAAACCAAATAATAATAATGTGCTCATTAATCATAAATGAGAACACTGTCCTTACTCCTTACACAACAAAAGAAAATGCTCAATAGTCTGAAAAGAATGCTCAATGTAGTGGATGTACAATATTCTGATATTCTTGTACCTATGAATTTATAGTATTGTAACTCATGGTTTAGATTTATCTAGAATGAAAAAAGAATACACCACAATTCTTTTTTTGAAAGGAAAGATAAAAGTTATTTTTGGGACAACCTAAAAGAAAAGTTGGAGTCTTAATTTTTGAGGAAGGGAATCCAGTGTCATATCTCTGGATTTACTACACATCCAAACACATTGTTACAATGTTTTTGATTCAAAGGTTAGGGGGAGGAGATATTTTAATGGAGGAATTAGAAGGGGTAGGATTATAGAATTAAAACTTTTGCTTTACTACCATCCAAACTTCAAAATTTTTAACCACCGGTCTCCCTATTACACCTATTTTCTTTAGTAGAATACTACTCTATGGCTTCTCTTGATTAATAATCCAAACATTTATATATGTAGCATTCTTTTGAAACATTTAGTTACAAACCATTCAAATGTTCAAAAATAATTAAACTCAATAATTTGCATCCATTTTCAACAAATTAGATAATCGTGTGAAAAGATGTGCTTGGGCGCAAATCGGATAGATGTGTGATTCAACATAATGGATAAAAACATTTACTAGCAATAGTATGATTTAGTCCAAATGAGAACATATTCTCTCACTCCCCTTCCACATCTCTCAAACTGAACCCTGTGTTATAGGTGATATACATCTATATGTATGCATTTTTGTTCATATGTGGTTTTTTCTAATGGCATGTGTGTTAGATTTAATCGTATTGTTTAATTCCTGGTTAGAAGTTAGTTAGTTTAGATTTAAATTTTAAAAAGAAAAGGGGCAATTATGGGTAGTTATTTCTAGAAGTTATAGGTAGTTATTTCTAGAAGTTGTATTAGTTAGTAATAGATGTGTTGATTAGTACCAATAGTTGTGTTGGTTGCTGTCTATAAATACTCCAGGAACATAGAATTCCTGTAGAATTCCTGTATGTAGTTCACAATAAAAAAATCAGAATTCTACATTGCATTTGATTTGTTCTTCCTATTATTTTTTCCTACAATTGGTATCAGAGCGTGTGCAATCAGCGGCAAGAAAAGGGTAATCTTCCAGATCGTATAACGGAGCATTAGAGACTTCCTTGACATGAGATCAAAAATCTTCGACAAAATTCTTCCTCGCCTAGGACAAAAATAGCGGGTGGCTAGTTTTTCCCTTTGGCAGAAGGATTCCAACCAAACATCGCAAGAAAAACGAATCAGCGGGGTAGCTTTCGTTTAGTGGCTTGGAAGACGTATCTGGTTGGTGGTCGATTGCAGGTGGCTTATGACCCAGGAAGGAATCAAAGTCTAAGAATTTTGTGAAAATTGTCAAAGGAATTAAAGTCGTGCAATGGAAGACAACAGACAGATTGTGACTACAAGGGAAAATAGTTCACTATCTTTTCATGTTCCAATTCTAACTGCTACAAACTACACTATTTGGGCCGTGAAGATCAAAGCAATTTTTAATGTTAATGGGATTTGGGAGGTGATCGAACCAGGAATAGAAATCGATCCAAAGAAGAACAATATGGCAATAGCATATTTGTTTCAAGCTTTGCCAGAAGAGATCATACTACAAGTTGCTCAGTTTACTGAAGCAAAAGAAATTTGGGATGCTTTGAAGACTCGCTTCGTTGGAGTTGACAGGGTTAAAGCGGTGCGATTACAGACACTTGAATCAGATTTTGAGACACTAAAGATGAAGAACAATGAGTCACTTGATGATTTTGCTGGTAAAATTAGTCAACTTGCAACACAAGCAAACAACCTTGGGTCTGCATTTGAAGACAAAAGATTGGTTCGAAAGCTTTTGGGTTCTGTGCCTGAAAAGTTCATACAGATCGTTGCTGCAATTGAACAGTTTGCTGACATTAACACAATGCCGTTTCAAGAAGCGGTGGGAAGATTGAAAGCATTCGAGGAACGCATCAGAAAGCCAACTGAGGAAGGAGATACACATGGTAAACTATTATTCACTAAAGGTGATGGAAAAGAGAAGGTTCAGGAGCACAAATGTGAGCATTGTGGTTGCTGGAGCTCGAACCGAGAAGACTTTGGACGTGGCCGAGGTAGAGGTCAGGGGTCCGGGAAAGGTCAGGATGGTGGTCGGTTTCAGCGGGATAAGAGTCACATTAAGTGTTTCAAGTGCAATGAGTTAGGACATTTTTTGAACGAATGTCCAAAATGGGATCAAAAGGAAGACATTGCAAATTTGATTGAAGATGATGATGAACCAACATTATTGTGAAGATTGGTGTGAACAAACAACAATTAGGGGGGTGATTGTTAGATTTAATCGTATTGTTTAATTCCTGGTTAGAAGTTAGTTTAGATTTAAATTTTAAAAAGAAAAAGGGGCAATTATGGGTAGTTATTTCTAGAAGTTATAGGTAGTTATTTCTAGAAGTTGTATTAGTTAGTAATAGATGTGTTGATTAGTACCAATAGTTGTGTTGGTTGCTGTCTATAAATACTCCAGGAACATAGAATTCCTGTATGTAGTTCACAATAAAAAAATCAGAATTCTACACTGCATTTGATTTGTTTTTCCTATTATTTTTTCCTACAATGTGTGCACTAATGAGTTTTATCATCGACAATCTTGGTGATGTTGGGTTTTACTTCTGTCAGGGAAAAATGAGTCGCTCTAGCAAGAGCAACAAGACATTGTATGTTGGCAATCTTCCTGGTGATACGCGTGAGCATGAAGTGGAGGATTTGTTTTACAAGGCAATATAAAATATTCATTGTGTGTTCTGTGATTTTGTCTGGTTATTTCATTCTTGTCACAGTAACCATATATTTGATCATTAAATCTAATAGCTGTTTCTTTCCTATTCTTAAAATCAGTTGAGCTTTCTGTTTTTGCTATCAGTATATCAAACATAATTGACTAGACTACTTTGCACGTGTGCATGTATTTGAGTACAATGTTCACAGTTGAGATCTACCATAATTTTCTTTTCTATTTTTCATTACCTGGTCACCAGGAGCATGACAAAGTTAAGCTCATATTTAGCATCTCTAAATTTTCTGTTCATCCATGGGTCATTTATATGATGTGCTGAATGTAAATGCAGTATGGACCGATTGCACATATTGAAATGAAAACTCCTTCCAGACCTCCCTGTTATGCTTTTGTGGAGGCAAGTTAAAACTCTGTCTTTCCATTTTTTATTTTGATCTTGAACCAATCTTTATTACTCATTCTCTTATTTAAATTACAGTTTAAAGATGCTCGTGATGCTGATGATGCTATTCGTGGTCGTGATGGCTATGATTTTGATGGACATCGATTGCGGGTAAGGCATGCGTTTGGGTTTAGTATGTTTTAGTGAATTAACTTCCGTATGTTGTTTGTTAATCTTGCACTGTTTCTAATACACTTAGGTTGAGTTGGCCCATGGTGGTCGCAATCAGTCATCATTTAATGACCACCACAGTAGCTATAAAAGCGGTCGAGGTCCACGGGGTGGTTTGTCGAGGCGTTCTGACTATCGAGGTTTTATTTTTTATTATTTAAAAACCGTTTACTCCAACTGTTATTCTTTTGTAATATGTATTTATTTCTAGTAACTCACTCTTGCCTCTTGCTCAGTGTCGGTCACTGGATTGCCCAAATCTGCTTCATGGCAAGATCTTAAGGTTCACTCTTCATCTAATAAAGCTGCATATAAGTGATGATTATTCATACTCACAGATTATATATATATATATATATATATATATATATATACATATATACATATATATATACATATATATATATATATATATATACTCCCTCCGTCCAACTTTAAAGTTCTCACTTTCCTTTTCAGTCCGTCCATAAATAATGTTCCCATTTCCTTATTTGGCAAAATTTTAAATGTAAAATGACTAAGATACCCCTAAAATCTCTAAAAAAAATTCCCTCCCCTGCCGATTTACAACCTTATCTTTTTCTTCATTTTCAATTCTTACAACCACCCATCTTCAACCTTATCTTTCTTCCTCCGTGCTTTTCTTCTCCACTTTCCTCTTATTCTTCTCCTCCTTCTTCTTCTTCTTCTTCTTCTTCTTCTTCTTCTTCTTCTTCTTCTCCTTCTTCCTGCCCGTCACTGACGTACAAGCGAGCATCATATTCACTGTTTGACGAGGAGCAACGACGGTGGAGATTTGATAGAACTGCGTGATCGAAGATGTACAGAGATGTATATGTGATTGGGGATGGAAGGTGTACTGACATGCTTGTGAGGACAGAGATAAACGATTATTTTGGGCGGTTTTGAGTTGAAGGAGGAGGAACATTGAGTTGAAGAAGGAACAGTGTTGAGTTGAAGGAGGATGAAGGGTGATTTTGGGAGGAGGAATCGAGGCAGGGAGGCTGGCTGTGTGAAGGAAGAGGGGTGTTTTGGGAAAGTCAACTGCAATTTTACTTCACCTAAAACTGCGTGTCCGGTCAAAGTGGGAACATTAATTTTGGACGGAGGGAGTATACACACACACACAGACATACATACATACATACATACATACATACATACATACATACATACATACATACATACATACATACATACATACATACATACATACATACATACATACATACATACATACATACATACATATATATGTATGTGTGTGTGTGTGTGTGTGTGTATATATATATATATTGATATCCAATTGCTGAATCCAGTCATTATGTGCTTGCCATCCAGGATCACATGCGTCGAGCTGGGGATGTTTGTTTCTCCCAAGTTTTTCGCGAGGGTAGTGGTAAGATGACCGGAAACATTGCACACACCACCACTTCTAATGTGTTTGTATGTAAAGTTGTTTCTCATCTTTCGTTTTTTTGGTACTAATCACTCTCTATGGTGGTTGTTGTTTTAAGGAATGTCTGGAGTGGTAGATTACACTAATTATGATGACATGAGACATGCCGTGAGCTATATTTATTCTTTTCGATAGATCAATATTGTTTCTCATTTTATATGTATAATCCATTGCCCCAATTTGATTGATAATATGCTGAACAAATATCTTCTTGTGTCTAGCTAAAAAAACTTGATGCGTCTGAGTTCCAAAACGCATACTCCAGAGCAGTAATATATGTACGGCTACATCCCATTTTTTTAAACTGATTTTTAATATATGCCATGTGAATATCCTCTTCGCTGTTAGTTTTATACTTTTATTACAATCACACGTTATGTGCATGCAGGTTAAGGAATATGACTCAGGTCGCTCTAGAAGCCTAAGTCGAAGTAGAAGCCCTTCTTATTCAAGAGGGAAGAGTGGTGGGCACAGCCGCCACCGGAACCGAAGTTATAGTCGTAGCAGAAGGTCTATTGCAATCATACATTTTATCTACAAGTATTAGGGGTTTATCTAAGAATAGTGAACTTTTGATTTGTAGCTTTAAATATGATATTATGTATATAAAGAGTATTCATTATTCTTGCAGCAAGTCTCCTAAAGCCAAGGCTTCTCGACGTTCAAGATCACATTCAAAATCATCATCACGATCTGATTCGAAGTCAAATGGCCGCTCTATGTCAAGGTAACGAACTATTTTTGGTGACATCAATTTAACAATCTTCGGTCTCTATGTATTCTTTTCTTTTTTATTATGAAAGCTTCTACGTTTTCCATATGAATGCATGTGGGCAATTTCCTCCTCCCTTCGTTCCACAATGGATGCCACTCTGCACTATTCAAAAATCACGATAACATTTGTTTATTTGTGTTTTTTATTGTTTATTTGATAAAATAAAATATTGTTGTCACCTTTTGTTTTGTAGAATTTCACGTAATTTTTAAATATGAGTATGTAAGATTTACTTTTTATTTCTATACCAATTTTCAAATTAAATAAGTTGAAAAAAGTATGGGATTTTTCTTTGTTTTGCGGACAGTGACATCCATTGTGGGACGGAGGGGGTATTAATTACTCTTGTATGCATTGGATTCTCTGCTGCTTTCCATGTACTTTTCTTAATCAATATTTATACCTGAATAAACTGTTTCTATCTTATCTTAAATTTTTGCCTTTATGAAGATTGCTGATTTTCCATCTACTACTAAGCATTTTTACATTATTTTGGTGGGTGAGAGGTTTTTAGATTAATGTCCTCATCAGTTTTGAGCTCCTAAGTCTGAAATAATAATGATAGATTTTGACCATATGTTTTTTCACATTCTGTTCCTTACCTATGGTGAATTTCTGTTTCAAATACCCTTAAATAAATATACAAGTTTATGTAACAATTTTCATTATATTTATTGTTTTTTCAAATGGTGTATCCCTATTATGACTGGATTCTCGGCAGAGTGTTCCTAATATTACTAATGTGGCTATCTGTTTCTTACCATTACTCCATTACCGTGTTACATGGATGTACTGCTCCTGCTTCTTTGATTGTTTTTAAAGTTTACTGAAGGATAAACCCTCTAACGTTGTGGATCAAATTAATGTTTGGAAGAGTGGTTTGATCTTGAAGTACTAAAAGGTTATTTGCAGTTTTTCTGCAGCACTTTTGGAATGTGATAATATAGCAAGTGTTTCTCTGTGCTTATAAGCTTATAAGTCAGCTAGCTGATGACATGTTTGTGTGCTTAATTGCTTACAAACTGACTTACTACCTCCGTCCCAGAGTATTTGTCCACTTTCATTTTTGCACACCATCCAATACACTTCTTTAATCCATTTTATCTTGTAATTTGTATATTAAAAAATTATAGAAATTATATATTAATAATCTATATGTTAAGACAAATCAAACAAGATCACACATGACTATATTTAGGCTTACACATTGAGAGAATTAATCAAATCAAATTAGTCAAAGTGCTTAGATGAACAGTTCCAAGTCAGAAGTGGACGAATATAGCGGGACGGAGGGAGTATAACTTATAACTTATAAGTCAGAAAAAATGAGTAGGTCTTAGCTACTTATTTTTAAACCAGTTTTTTGTTTCTCTGTTTTGACCGGATTATTTACAAAACTCTACCTCATTATTTGTGAATATTTATAAATGACTTATTTATTGTTTAAGTAATTTTACTTCCATAAAAAATATCTGACGTATAAGCAACTTATAAGTTAAAAACTGCTTATCAACAATAAGTCAATAAGCACCAGCACGAAGAAACACCCTCATAGTGTTGGCTGTGTTTGTATTCATTTGTGCCTTGCATGTCAAAATGTTGTAATTACCAATCCCAATATTTTTCTTCTGTACTCATACTTATTTGGCTTAGATTTGTTATACGCTTTCAAAGTGTCAGCATTTACTTTTGGTCATAAACAAGGTTATGATTCCTTTTCCGGCTCTTTTTTAAGATAAAACGTAGTAGTTTTTGTAAAGGGTGGGTGTGGGTGCAATCAGGAAAGGGAAACTAGACCTGAAAGGGTAATAGAACCAACATTTAGTTTGGTTCTTGTTTTATTGTTTCTGGCCAAGGTAAACCTCATCTTTTCCTCAAGGAGTTCGATGTATTCTTGCCTTTTTTAATAATTATGAAGTCACTGTTTTTTAGATCAGACTATCAGCAGCAATTTGTGGACTACATATTAGGAGCTTGAATAGATATCGTTCAGTTGCATAGGAACTTGAATGGATATGGCTCTATTGCCTAGGATCATGAATGGATATGGCTCGGTTGCCTAGGAAGTTAATTGGATTTGGCTCAATTGCCTAGGAACTTGAATGGATATGGCTAAATAGCTTATGGCACTTTTGGCTGTTGAGGTATGATGTTCTCTGAATGGAAGCTTTGGAATCTTTAATGTCTCTGTTCTAATGAGCATGACCAAAATGTCCATGGGTTCTAGATTATGTACAAAGAAGGCAAGGATTCTGTTGATGAAGCTGGATTTTGAATTGCTTACTGAAACCGGGAACCACCATCTATTTGCAGCAGCATGTTTACATTATATCCTATGCCGCTAAGTTATTAAGGCACATTTATCTGATAGCGCATGCATTCTTTTGGTATCATGACTATCATCTGCATTGATGTTTTGTAGAGCATCTGTAATACCATAAATAGCTAAATACGTAGTATGTGGTATTGTTATTTGGAAGTAGCATATTTGGGGAACCAAATCACGTGGGTACTTAAATTGGGTTTCTTTCTGGCAATTTTGCAGATCTCTATCAAGATCTAGATCCCCAGCACCTCCTGTAAGATATACTCTGTATATATTTTATTTGTAGCGTGTATTGGTACCTTCTTATTATTGCTGAATCACGTTTTTCGTTTATTTTTCTTGGCATTTTTGGTCTTCACTTTGCGTATTATACTGCTCTATATTCTGAACCAATTGACCACAGCTGAAGAAAGATGTCAATGAAAGCCTGAAGAAACACAGCCCCAGTGGAAGCCCTATCCGGAGTCGCAGCCAGAGTTTATCCAAATGTAGGGGCAAGAGAAGTTCAAAACAATTAAGGTATATTTTTTCCAAAGTGACGCATTCTAATCTGTGGATGTGTTTTGGCAGGAGAGAGATTGGGTGATGGTTGAACATTTACTACTGGTATGAATTTCCCTGCACGGATACACTTGAATTTCACTGACCAAGAAGGAACAGTGAGATCTCTCCTTCATCCTTCTAACCTTTATTGTTTTTTATTTTTGAGATTGGCCAACAATTTGAGGCATTGAGCCAGATTATATATACTTGTGTATTTTTGTCAAAGATTTGCAAAGCTATTTATTCGTCTGGCAGTAAGATTGGTGTACAAATTTGGATCCGGCAGACTGCAGAGTAAACTCCATGTGGAGTTGCTCCACCAGTGGAATCTTGGCATTTACTTTATCTTCTGTGTTCTCTGAATAATTAGCTCACAGCACATCTTTCGTTTCTACATTCTATCTATGTTCTGTTTTTTGTGGTGGATGATTGATTAGGATCTGTTTGGTACACATTCGGGCCATGGAATTGGAATTGAAAATCTTTAATTCTAGATTTGTTGTTTGGTTTCACAAAAATATGTGGAATGAATTTCAGTTCCAAATCTTCTAATTCCACATTTTGAATTCCATAGTACTGGCGGAGATTTGGAAATTCAAAATTTGAATTCTACGGGTCAAAACCAAATCACGCAAATCCCTTTTGCATTATAACAATGAAACTAGTCTAATAAAGTAAAAAAGTTAAAGTTTAAAAATAAAAACTAAAATTAAAAAGTACTCCCTCCGTCCCATTTTATAACGCCTGTTTCGGTTTACGATGTTTGACTGAAGTTATTGTCAAATCATTTTATATGAAAAATGGTATAGAATTAAAAAATAAAAATTACATATCAAAATACATTAAAAGATCTACAAAACTAGTGGCGACAACAATATTTTATTTTATCAATTTGCTAACGAAAATAGAGAAAGAAAGTGAATGAAGTTTGACTTTGTGAATAGTAAACATGCATTATAATTTGGGACGGAGGGAGTAAAAATTAAAACTTAAAAATATAAATTTAAAATTTTTAAAAATTAAAAACTAAAAATTAAATTATACAAATCTATAATCTAAAGTTTAATATTAAAAATTGGAAAAATAAAAATATAAAACTAAAATTCAAAATTTAAAGTACGATCTAAGAATTAAAAATTAATAATCAAAAATTCAAAAAAAATTATAAATTTAAATTTTAATTTAAAAACTAATAATGAAAAAGTTAAAAATTAAAAATTAGTACTTAAAAATCAATAATTAAAATAAGTCCAAACTTAATAAAGTATATACAGTTGGTCACCTTTTTACGAGATCTACCCAATGACTCAATTTTAAATTAAAAAGTTGACTTTACGAATAGTTTATATTTTTATGTCAGAAAATAAAATATTATATTTATTTTTCCTAAAATACGGCTAACTACTAATCTGGTTTCCAGAGCGTTACAAATTTAGTTATCTTGGTATTATGAACTTTTGGGCTAAAATCTTCCTTATTACTGTGCTAGATTAATAATAAAGGCTATCTAGAAGAACGAAGAACTCTAAGATAGATCCCATGTGACCAATTTGATTAGCCCTTAAGGGTATGATTTCTGGTGGCCAAGGTTAAAAGGTACGTACATGATCCACAAACCAAAATTGAGTATCCACTCGTTTGGGCGTATCATCTAACGTGACAGTGAGCTAGCAGACTCCTCTTCGGTTTCTGAGCGTGACCTATAAAACTCATAAATATGTCATGATTCTTTTGTTTAGCCTTAAACTAATCATTGTTTAAGAGCCTCGTTATCAATTAGCCTTGGATTAAGAATAGTTTAAGAACACTTTTATTATCAAGAATGATGTAGGATTGGCTTGAGCCTAGAATATGTTAAGAGTAACTGTTTATGATAAAACTTGGTATAAGGTTATGAGTGACAAATGATGAATATTATGATCTTATTAATGACATATGATTATCGAGAGCTGTGGATTGACTTCTGTACAAGTTTGAATGATAAATATTTCTGAATTGACTATATATAAAAAAGTGAATGTTTGAACAGATACATGTGATTGATATTGTGAAGGAATTTTTCTGTGAATCCTTTTATTGTGCCATGGTATCACTCAGCTTCATTGCTGAGAGTGTAGACCTTTACATCTTTCTACACGTAGGCATAAAAGAGAATAAATGTGAAGTCTATCTTGGAGGATACTGAGATGCAAGCGATGCGTGGACATGCACAAACTTACTATTTGAGTAAACGATTTTACCATATGTTGATTTATGGATTGACCATACTATTGTAACTTCAATTGCTTCCGCATTGTTAAAAATAATTTTACTTCGATGTTATTGCAAAATATTTTACACAGTTGTTTTAAATAAATTTTATATATATTTTAAATTGTGATGTTATCAAGTTAATACTTTAGTCTAAAAGGGACTACAGTCCTAGACAAATTAGGATGTTACAGAGGAACTACTATGAGTATGAACCTAAGACAAATTGTCCTTAGTACTAGAAATCTATGAGCAATATCAAAAGAGAATTCAAAAAGATGGATGTAAAAGCTAGCTACACTGTTGGAGGAGGTTATTCATGGCTTAATGATGTTAAGCCTAAGATAAACTGGTATAAGCGGGTCTCGAATAAGGGCACACACCCAAAGCACCAATTTATGCTGTGGTTGACCATGTATATAAGATTAAAGACAAAGAGTAGGGCAGTAGGCTTAAAGTCTTTATGCAGATTTCAACTGAGTGTGAGTTATGTGAAGAGGAGGAGAACCACCTCTTATGGGAATGTAAAAGTCAAAAGGACCAAAGATATTTGGTTGGGGATATTCAGAAACGCAGGTTTGTTCGGAGGTAGGAGGAGGTAGAGAGATGTAAATTTAATATTCTACCTTGTTTGGTAACAAAAATTGAGATAGATCAAAAGAGGTAGGGGAGGTAAAGGGAGGTAGGGTTACCTCTGAACAGTACATTTTAGTCGACCGCCAATTTGGCAAAATATCAAGGGAGAAAAGTGCACCGTTTACCCTCGAATTCTTTGAAAATTGCACGATTTACCCCTGAACTTTAAAAAGTGCACCAAATACCCCTGAATTCTTTAGTAATTGCACGCTTTACCCCTGAACAATAAAAAGTGTACCAAATATCGCTAAACTCTTCGAAAATTGTACTGTATACTCCTGAACATTTAAATAAAGACGACAATTTTGGGGAAAGATACTTTGGAAAAATCACAAGGGTCAAATGAATCATATTCACAATTGTTGTGCGTGGAAGCAACGCATTCTCTATCTAATAGTTTAGGACCAACGATGCAACGGTTTAATTTGTTCAAGGGTATTTGGTGCATTTTTTAGTATGCAGGGGTAAATCGTGCAATTTTCAAGAAGTTCAAGGGTAAACGGTGCAATTTTTATAGTTCAGGGTTAAAACATGCAATTTCTAAAGAGTACGGGATAAACAATGCACTTTACTCAATATCAAGGTAATAAGCTATATTTTCCGTCGTGCCCTTCACCTGATTGCCAATCGCCATCTTCATCCAGTATTCCCATCGCCCTTCATTTTTTTGTTTCAATTTTCACTTTTTTGCTCTTCCGCATAGTTCACTTTTTTGCTTTTTGCTCTTCCGCATAATCTTCCATCTTCTTCCGCATAGTTCATTTTTTTGTTTCAATTCCGATCACCATCTGCTCACTTTTTTTCACTTCGATTTTCACTTTTTTATCCAATTTCCAGATTTTTTTTTCTATTTCCATTTTTTAATTTCCTCTGCTTTTTCACTTTTTTTAGTTTCAAGTTTTGGTTTACTTTTTTTCAAGTTTTCGTTTTTTTGTTTCCCTTTTTTCAGTTTTCGTTTCACTCTTTTTCTGCTTACTTTTTTCTGTTTTCGTTTCTCTTTTTTTTCCTGTTTTTTTGGTTTTTTTCTATTCTTTTTTTGTGCTTTTTTCTAGTTATTTTTTTTATGTTTTTTCTACAATTGTGCATTTCTTAGTACTCTGTTTTTGTTGTTTTGTTATTGTATATCATTTTTTACTGTTTTGCTATTGTACTTTATTTTTTTGTAATCATTTGGACTTGTAGGTGCTAGTGGGTTGAGTTCTTACAGATTAACGTGAAAAAAATCTACTACCTCTAACAGATATATAGAATCTTGTTGGATCGCTGAATTTTGAGGGAAGTCGTAAGAAACATGCGTACATGTTCCTTTTGGAGAAAACCTGTGACTGTAAAAGCAATTCTTGAATTACCAGAGGAAGTACGCGAAAGTTTTCTCAATGATGTTCTGAACAAGGAAAGAATCTGAAGTGATCACTATTTTAATTATCATAAGATTTGTGTCTAAATATGTCGTTGTTTTTTGGGAACATATGTTACATTTGAAGTCATTGTCCATTTTTTTGATGTGTGGAAGAACAATGTGGTTGATGTTTTTAGGGATAAGGACCAAACTAAGAGTAAAAGATATGACATATTCTCAAAATAGGAGTTGAAACTTAAACTCCTCTAAATAGGAGTAATTAATTTAATTAATCTAATCTTCTCTCACACACTCTCCCTTCCCGTCCATTTCTTAATGTCCATATAAACAAAGCGATAATACCCCTCGCGACATAGATGGCGGTGGTGTGGGCAGCGGGACCACTTCCAATGATGCAGACGCTAGTCCTGTGGTGATTTTTGCCTTCCATCGCGGGGTAATTCCCCTGGCCGGTAGTCAATGCAGCGGAAAGAGGAATGATGTTGCTGGGTTTTCTGAAAGGTTTTAGGAGTCTTCCGAAAATTGACCGCTACACATTTTGTTTCCTTCGTATTTGAATGAATTGAGTCAAGAAGTTTGACTGGGCTTTGGCGGGTGGGTTGTATTTGTTTGGTTGTAATTTAAACTTGTAATTTGATGAAAATGGTAGTAATTGATTTTATCTTGAGTGTCAACTTGAAAGTTCTATAGGAAACGTGAAAACGAGGGAAGAATAATGTTTGAGAAAGAAAGGCATGATTTGTTACCATAAATCATTTGTAAGGTTACGAATGAAGGCGAAGAAAATAAAATAAATAAAGTTTAAATTTATAAATTATTCAAATATATACAAAAGAATGATATAGTAGAGAGGCCACTATCGAGATGAGACTTGCACAGTGACATATAAAGGCATACATGTGAATGCATAGTATTAAACAAAGAGATAATATCAAACATGAAAATGTATAATGCCACACTTGGCAATGTATAATGACAGATATGTCATTGTATAATGCTACATAACACACATGTTAATCATATGTTAGCATTAGGGGTGCATACAAATCAAATAAAATGTATTCGATTCGTGATTCGTATTCGAAAAGGATGATTCGTATTCGCTATATTCAAATTCGAATCCGAATACAAATCATATTTTAGATTCGAATTATTTTCGAATTTGAATACA